TGAAACTAAATTGAGAGCAAAAGAGCGAGGCAATTTTTCAAGCAATTTATGTGAAATTCAAGTGTGCATTCCTGAAGCTACTTGGACAAGATAGAAGAACCAATTCTATTGTGTTTATTCTTATTCTAGTTCAATTGTAGTAGGTGGTTTAAAGTTGTACCTTTCCAGCTTTCATAGAAGCAATTGTATTAGGTACTTTGAGTATTCAAGTTAGAGTTAACTTGAAAGTGTCGCAGCAGTTGAGGCTGTGTGCTACACTTGCTATACTGGGATTAGAGTTTAATCCTTAGGTTTACAAGAGTTTTGTAAATGTTGTTTTAGCTCAGTGATTTTAGTGGAAGTTTGGGAAAATCCTACTGAGTAGTAGGTCGTGGTTTTTTTCACCTTTTGAGCCAGGTGTTTTCCACGTAAAAATCTTTGTGTTACTTTATTTTGTGCACTCTTAATTCCGCAAACAATTGTAGTAGGTACACCTAGAAGAACCAGGTTCTTCTAGAGCGAAAATTGGGTACCACACAAATCACCCCCTCCCCCCTCTTGTGTGGTATTGACGTTTAGAACATCAACATCTGAATATATTAAGATGTGTATTAAGATCTGAATATCAAAAATTAAGACTGTTTGATTTTTAACATCTGAATGCATAAAATTTATCTTTATTTGAAAAAAATCTAATATTCTATCAATAAAATATATAGTTTTAAAATATGATAGTTGTTGGTGGTGATGGCTAACGGGTGAATGCCGACTAAAGGCGGTGGTTGGTGGTAGTTTTGGTTGATGATGGTGGTTCATGCTAGTAGCTAGTAGTTATTGGTAGTGGTGGTAGTTATGATTGATGATGGTGGTGATGGGCAGTGATAGTTAAGAATGGCGGGTGGTGGTTTGTGATTGAGGAAGGTGGTGATAGGTTATAATGATAGGCGGTGCCGACTGTGGTTGTTAATGGTGATGGGGTGGTTGGTTGTGGTAGTTGAGGTGGATAAGTGTTAAGTGTGAGTGAGAATGATGGTGGTCGGAGTGGTGGGATGGTGGATGATGATGGTCGATAATGGTGGCGGCTATGATTGAGGATGATGGTGGCGTGGTGGTGGCGACGGTGGTGGCAGTGGCGGCAGCGACGGCTGAGTATGGTGGTGGTGGCGGCATGGTGGTAGTTGATAATGGTATGCGGTGGCGACAATTAATAATGAATATGTGATAGCATCTTAATGAAATTAAGTCTCTGTTACAGATCTGAATCATACAGACCTATTCAGACCCACTAAGTGGTTGTTAAGTAAAAAAAACAAACACATTTAATGAGTAAGATCTGAATAATTAAGATCCAGACTTTAAAAACAAACACACTTAATGTCTGAGATCTGAATGGTTAAGATTCAGACCTCTATTAAGTGCAAACAAATGAGGCCTTAGAGCCACCAAGAACTTCCATAATAGTTCATTAGTCCCAATTTCGCCATAGATTTCAATAAGTTCATTCTTCCATAAATCTGATGAAGAATGATACAGAATGACGAAGGCATCCCTATCCTCAACACTAAGGAATTTGCTATGAATTTCATCTAATTTAATCCTAAAAAATATGAGAAAATCAAGCAAAGAGTCAAAAGGAGCCATTTTTATTTTCTTGAAATTCTCAAGAAGTCTTCTTCCTTCCCTTTTACGTGCCCTTATTTCTCTGTTCAGATTCTTCTTCATCCTTGAATCATTTCTTATGACTTCAGGCTCTGAATCTGAATCAACTAGAGTTTTGATCCTCTTGCGACGCATTCTTCTACTATTTCTTTTTGATCCTCTATCAATATCACTCCCACTTGGAGCAATTTGAGCATGTTCCCGTTCAACCATATCTGAAATAGGAACAAGAAATCAGAAATATGGTTGTTACCATTTAATGCGACAACGCATGTCACAAATTTCTGGTAGAAGACAAAAATGATCATAAAAGGGTTTTTTAAGTTGTAAGATTCCATTTTTCACATAAAAAATATTTTTGGAAAGCCCAAAACAAGTATATCATGAATATATAAGTTTTAGGCAAAAATATTGGCAAAATACATAGTTTACCCATTAACCTTACACGCAAATCCCCATTACACACCTTTTCACCACGGGTAACTTTTTACAAACCCAACCTTTGTAGAGTGTGTCTAAGACATACCACTTTGCCCACGTGGTCAATGCGTGTTTTTACCAACAAATGAAGCGCGTGAACATGAGAATTTTTTTATATCATATGTCAATTTCTTAATTTTTTTAAAATTTAAATTAGGGTCATCTTCTTCCTTGTTTAAAAAATCACTAAACCTGCCAAAGCTACTCCTTGATTCTTAGACCCACTTCTCTCCACTCGATCTACTTCTTCTCAAGTAGACCCATCAAAATTTCTCATATCTCTCTTGTTGATTAGTCCTTAGCTTTGCCGATTTTTTTTTGGTTGAGAAATTGTAATTAGAATCCAAATAATTGTAGCTCCACCAACCATTAAAGCTAGGCTTCAACTTATGTACAGAAGATTCTTCTTTTCTCCAGACTTAAGCTTTGCCGTGGCTAAGTTAAATTTCTGAAAGGGTAAAATTTTTAAAATTTTCCCCAACTATTAAAGCTTAGCTCAAGCTTTTCCAGATAAGCACATTCTTTAATTTTGTTAATGGGTGAGTTTACAAATAATTATTATTACTACCTCGTTTGCTTCAGTTGAGGGAATCGAAAGAGTACAAAAAAAAAAATGAATGCTTGATGATGACAGTTATGGTGGACAAGATGAAGAAAATAGGGATATAATTGTAATTTTATGTGCTATCTTTTTTGTTATTAGTTAGTGACACGTGTCACGACCTTATTGGCGCGTGATAGTACACATGCTTTGAAAATCTGGGTAAGAAAAAAGTGGTGTGTCTTAGACACACTCTACAAAGGTTAGGTGTATAAAAAATTACCCGTGGTGGAAAGGTGTGTAACAGGGATTTGGGTACAAGGTCGATGGGTAAACTATGTATTTTGCCCAAAAATATTTAACAAGTTATTTCTAAAATGCTGAAAACAGAAGCAGTTTTTCGTCAGAAAAATAGTCAAAAACTGCCAATCTCCAAAAAAAATATATCTCACTCGTTTTTAATCTGTTTTTTACATATAATATATTTTCGCAAAGCCCAAAACGAGTAGAACATGATTATATAAGTTTTAGCCAAAAAATTTTAACAAGTTATTTCTAAAACGCTGAAAACAGAAGCAGTTTTTCGTCAAAATAGTCAAAAACTATCAATCTTCAAAAGTCATATCTCACTCGTTTTTAATCCGTTTTCACATATAATATACTTTCGAAAAGCCCAAAATGAGTAGATCATGATTATATAAGTCTTAGGCCAAAGTATTTAACAAGCGATGGACAAAACGCAAAAGAAAAACAAAAACAGTTTTCTCTGAAACTTGTCAAAAATTAGCCAACAAACAAAATCTCAAGCTAAACTTATAAAACAACGATTTTAAGACAATTTACATAAATAACTGGATCATTCAACCATTCTCTGATACCATTGTAATATAATTTGAAGCAAAAACAACGGATTGTGTACCTTAAATTCGCAGCGAATATTGTTGTTGTTGCTACCAAAAGAATCTGCCTTAAGTCTCCTTTGATTTCACTAGGAAATCAAGGCTAAAGTTCACAAACTAAATGTTTTTTAGTGTGATGATGTAATCTAGAAAGTTAGGATTGCTTTTCTTTCTTTTCTGGTTTTTCCTTTTATTTTCTACATAATGTCTCCCGTGCTCTCTCTTTTGAAGCAGAAGACTTCCCTTTTTATTAGGAGAGGTTGAGCAGTTATCAGATAACTGTTCCCTCTCCTTTTCAAAAAAGGATTTGAACAATTATAACTGTTCCTCCTCTTTTAAGCATAAGGTTGAAAAGTTATAACACAACTGTTCATCCTTTATTTACAAAACCAGATAATTCTTTATTTACTGGTCGGGTAAGATTGGATCGGGTCGGTTCACATGGGCGACCCACGATCCCAAAAACTTACAGTAGGCTTTACCTTACTTGCGTATCCAACTCCATAGTTATTGATCAACAACTTGGCCAATTTAAGGGCACTACCCCAACTCCTCACATGGATGCTACCAGGATGTTTTGACACACTATTTAAAGTTGATCCAGCTTAAGGCCTTTAACTATCACGAAATTTCAATTTCTGATCTCTACAAATTTTTATGTTTTTTCCCCCAGATTGGACAGCTTATCTCACTTCTGTCTTATGCTCCTTGATTCCAACTCTTCAATGCTACTCTAATCATTCGGAACTTTCCCAAACGCTTGAATGGTTCTCCTTTCTCACTTATCAAAAATATCTATCTTTACTCTATAAACGTGGAAATCTTTTGAAGTCCTACAACATCATATAATCTTTTAAAAGAGTCTAATTTTTTATGAGCCTCTCCTCAAATTCTTCATAGCAATTATAGTTAGACTCGACCTCTTATGACACTCCTTTTGTCCATTATAGTTGTCATGATTACCAAAACTAATTGATCTAAAATATTTGTCATTTCAAAAAATTAAGAAACAATTAATTAATTTCTTCCACCTTTACCTTTATTCTGATAAATGTAGAGAGAAAATAATATAGTGAAAGAAATATAGTAGTAATAAATTGGGATTAAATAATAAATAGGATAATTTAGTTAAATTAATTTTTAATTAATATTTTCTTAAGGTGCATGCAAAAATCAGACAAGAAGAAATGGACTAGGGAGTATAACATTTCATCATTACCTTTACTCTTATCTGCATCAGATTTCGGAAGTCTTTCTATAATATTTTTATATAAATTGTTTGCATATATAAAAAAATACTATGTTTTTTTAAAGGATTAATAAAAAAAAAATAGTAATAGTAAAATGTAATGTAAGTTTCCGTTGGTAATTTAGAAGTAGAGAACCCACTGCAATACGGAGAAAAGAAAAGAAGAAAGAAAAAGAAAAAGAAAAGGAAACACTAAATTACATGAAATAGCGTTAAAACTAAAATTTATCCACATTATAAGGCCGGTGAAGGAATCACCAATCAGCTAATCAAATCCACCGGAGTCCGGTAAAGATATCCTATGAGCCCTGTTTGATCCTTCAAATCTCCGATTATAAGCTTCTTCTATATTAACCCTAACCCTAGTAATCTGCCCCCTTTTTTGCTTTTGCTCTTAGGATGGAATCTTTGTTTGCAAACTATGCTTCTTCTGATGAAGATGATGAACAACAGTCACATCAAGATAAGCATCCACAACAAGTACATAGCTCCAATTCTTCAAACCCTAGCGTATTTTCCTCTTCTCTTCCTCCCCCTAAATCTTCTTTTTCACTTCCCCCACCAAAATCCCAATCAAATACTTCACCCACCTTAACCACTCCCTCAGCTGTAAAGCAACATTTTGAAGAAGAAGATGAAATTCCTGATAAACCCTCATCGTTTTTCTCTTCTCTTCCTCAACCTAATAAATCAACATCATCATCATCATCTTCGCTTTTCTCTGTCCTTCCTCCGCCCAAAACCACTCCTTTGTCTTCGTCAGATCCTAAACCTAAAAGAAAGGTTGTTCAGTTCAAGCCTCCTGCCAACCCTTTTTCTGTAAAGTCCAATAGAAGTGTAGATGAAGATGAGGATGAGGATGATGAGGGTGAGAAGGAGAAACAGAGAAAAAGGTCTGAATCTTTTACTCAAACACCTTCAGTTAAGTCATTTTTATCGAGCATTCCTGCTCCAAAGAACTCGACCTCGTTGGGTGTTTTAGGTTCAGGTTCTGGAAGAAGATCCACCATTGAAGCAGATGTCCCTGTTCCTAATTCAGCTACCTCGAGTGAAGTTCTAGTTAGTTCACATACAGGGTACAATGAGAACCAGCAAGTTGATGGATCTTTAGAGAGTTCAATGAGAGGTATTGGCGGTCCCACAGAATACAGTGCTAGTTTGGGTGTTGCAGGCGATTACTCCTCCAATTGGGGCGCACATGGTTATGTCGACCCTGAAAGCTGTGCTAATGATGTGACTAGTGGTTATGAGAATTATCCTGGCTATGACAGCAATAGTGGGACTTACACTGGCTATGAACAGTATGATCATAACTGGACTGATGGGTCTAGTACAACAGCATCAGCATCAGCAATTACCGATACGGCTGAAGTTGCATTGACATTGCCCGGGAAGAGAGGCAGGAAAGATGTTCCGCAGAAATTTGTTGAGGTGAACCAGGATGAGTTGATGAAGAATCGGCCTAGGGAGGACCAGTCAAGGCTTACTGGAATTGCTTTTGGCCCATCGTACCAGGTACGCCTTTACGATGTCTATGACCCCTTGGTACTTGTTCTTCAACTAAATTTTGATAAGGTTAAAATTAAGTTGTGGTTGATTTTTACTACAACATATTAATTTTCTTTATCTGAACCTTATAGTGAATGTGGTGTTGTTATTGGACTTTGGGTTCTAAATTATCTGGCTGCTTAATTTAGATTTGTATGTCCAAATCTGGTCCTGATACTTTCTACTGATTTTGAGCAGGAGAAATGAATCTCAAGAGATTTAGATAGCTAATGGCATAATTAGAAGTATTCACTTGATCCATTAAGTGTTATTTATGCATGTTTCTAGTTGATTTATCTTTTGGACAGCCATGTATTAGCCTCTAGGACTTCAGATTAAGAACTTGACTAATAGTATTCCAGTGGAGGTTGAGTATTTTCTGGATGCTCTTATTCATCTATCTTTTTGGAATGTTCGCCCATTAGCAACGAGGTTTTTGTAAATTAATAGTCAAGTCAAGTTAACGTGAACATGAATATTTATATATTTTCCTCTGGCATTATTTGCTTCAATGTATGTTGTTTTTAGTGCTATTACCATGTTGTTGTTGTTGTTGTTGTTGTTGTTGTAATTCCAGAGGAAGAGCAAAATTGAGATAAAAAATATTAGATGGTGAAACCTCAATTATAGAGAGCCTATTCTGAGGATATTTGGACCAAAAATTAAGTACAGTAATGTACATGTAGATAATATAATGATAGCATGAGACAATCACAACAAATCTAGATTGTAAGACATTCGAATATCTTTTGATTTCTCCTATCAAACTTGGTAAATTTGACCTAGTGCCATTTTACTCATGGAAGCATACAAGGTGGTGGGGCTGAGTGTTAGGCTAGTCAAAAGATAAAAGTAGTAGAAATGAGGATACTGAGATGGATGTGTTGGCATAGCAGTGTTGTGAAGAGCGTGAAGCTAGGAAAAGTGACAAAACCCCTTTCCGCTTAAAGCATGAAGCAAAGCGCTCGCTTTTTTGAAGTGAAGCGAAATTTAAAAAAAATAAAAAATAAATATTGAACGAAAAGAAGAACTGAAGGAAATTGGCAGTAAGAAAGAAAAACATCCCAGCATTTCACTGCAATTTAAGACTGAAACATTAAAAGAAAAAGAAGAGGAGAATGAGAAAAAGAATAACTGAAGGAAAAAAAAATTTGGCAGCATTTCGCTGCTATTTTGAGACTGAAACAGTGAAAGAAGGAGGAGGAGGAGGAGGAGGAGGAGGACAAAATCACATACCTGGGCTTGAACTTGATGAACTTGAACTTGAAAAGTGCAGAAAATGCTGCTCGATGAAGTTTTGAAAAAAGAGAGGTTTGAGAAGAGATAGAGGTAGGAGGTGTTTGGATATGGCGGGTTTGAGAAGAGAGAGGGGTAGGCCAAAGAAGTACTGGGAGAGATGATTCGGGAGGACATGACGCTGCTTCAGCTTACTGAGGACAGGACCCTTGATAGGAGGATGTGGAGGTCGAGAATTAGGGTAGAAGGTTAGTAGGTAATCCAGAGTTTTCCCTTTCCTTACGAGAATTAGTAGTACTCTTGTATCTCCTTCCCCTTCCCGTTCCCGTTCACTGGGTAGGGGTAAGGTCTATGTACGCACTACCTCCCTAGACCCCACATGTAAGATTATATTGGGTTTGTTGTTGTTGTTGTAAGAATACAAGGTGGAGTAGATGTAACGAAATACTGCCATGTGTTAAAGGCGTAGGCAAGTTAAATAGTTAGTCAACTTGTTATGTTCTGAACTTCGTCAGTTAAAGAGTTTAATCTTTTTTCAAGACCTTATGCTCTCCAATATAGGGATACTCAATTTGATTGGATTGTAAAATTGATGAATCTACATGAATATTGAGTCCTAGATCAATAGACTCGTAGGTGATGATAGTGGTCGTTGAAGTTGGGATATCATATGGATAAAAGTGGTGGTTATTAGGACAGAATATTACGTTATTTTTCCACTGGTGTTCATGTTGATTGGTCGCACATATATTGTCATGGAAATCGTGTGAAGGACCAACAATGAAATAACCTCAATTTGGACACCATGTTGGCTATTTCTTGTTGCACTGCCACAACTATGGGTCTGGGTCAACAAAACTTCAGTGTTTGTGATCGTGGACCGGTCTTGTATCGTTCATTGACGCAAGTACTATTGCATTTTGGCGTTGGTGCTTTGTTTCACGAGATAATGTTAGAAATGATAATTCCACCATATATGTTTGTGCTCACAACTTATTTAGCCCAAGAGTCATTTTATATAATAAGTTTTTATAGTTAAATTAATGTTTTCCAAGTGGGAGTTTAAAATTGTTTCCTAAATGTGTGACTTAACATTAACTTATTAATTCGGTTTTACCAAAACGTGCTAAATGATAATAGTTGGTGGACAAGACAGATGCAAGATAATTATGTGGATTCTATGACGGGCATGTATAATTTCATTGTAATAGGTATATGCAGGCAGTAGTGTAGGCCTATTGAATACCTGTGAGTATGCCATAGGGAGGCCAACTAGGTTAAGGCTTTTAAGCCTATAGGTATAGGGCTGGTAGTTTCCCTCTCTTGGCTTAATCTAAACTATTACCCATCACTAAGTCTTCGCTGCTTCCTAGATTTCTGACTTGATTGTGTCATGTCATATAGCTGAATTAAACCATGTACATGTGTTCAATTTAAGTGTCATTGTATACTCAATATCAAGAGATGTAAATATTAGTCATATACCCTTTAAATGAAATTTTATCAACTGTTGCCAACTTGCCCTTTACTAAACACAAACCTACCAACAATGTTAAAGAAGTCAAACAACTTGTGAGATGGTGATTTTTTTTTTGGTTTCCCACCCGGTGTCCGGCACCCGCAATGGGGCCCGACTAAATCCAGATTTGCGCTGGGAAGTTCCATATTGGAGGGTAAAGTGCTCCCTAACAAAGGCGACTCCATACCCAGGGACTCGAACCCGAGACATCTGGTTAAGGATGAAGGAGTACTTACCACTCCACCACAACCCTTGTTGGTGAGATGGTGATTATTATGACTTCTTTATGCATAAACATATAATAATGTGTCTTCATTAGAAATCAAGCAAATTATTCAATTTCTTAACAAATAATCATCAACGAGATGATCAAATTAAACCAAGTAGACAACAAGAAATGTGCTACAACCAATATATGTCAATATTGTCGACAACATCATTTTAAATATTCGTTCAAGGACTCAAATAAATGTCAAAAAGTGTGATATAATGATATAGTCATATAAACAACAGCAAGCACATATTCATAAGCTTTCACAATATATATGTACTTATAACACTCGGCGGAGCAGGATGGGAAGGGAAACATGAGTATAAAAAATCATATTTCTTCAATAATTGAAGGATATTTCAAGTAGAAGAGCTGACGTATGTAGATCTCTAAAGAGCCAGCCTGAATCAAGCATTGGATAAACACCAATGACAATACAACTTACAACCTTCTCAGACTTCAACCATTATAATTACATTGTCATGCTTTATAAATGTAATCGAGTTGTACTTTTATGACCTTAAAAAATGGAGTAATAGATACAAAATTCACTCCCACTGATCAAAAAGAACCATAAACAACTTTAAGCATGACTTATTATAATCTTTTTTATAAGGAGTTAGTATGATTTATTGTAATCTTTAAAAGGACTTAAAATGTACTTTCAATAGCGATATCACATAGATACACACATACAATGTCTTATTTTACAGACACTCAACCGGTGGAATCATTTGACTCATATAAAAGTTTTTTCAATTCTCACCTACATACTAAGTCTCAAAAGTATAACGTTTGCTCATTTTCTTATTTCAGCAGGCCATTGTATTAGCCTTAATTAAGTGAGTAGTTGTGTTAAAGGAGAATGACAGTCCACATATGATCTAGAAGGAATATACTAGTACTCTTGGTAACTCTATTGTTGGAATGACGATCAATTACATATAAAAAGTCATACTTAAATATTTCCTTCATATAAATTTAGACTAAAAGAAACAATAGAATTTTTGAAGGCAAACTTAGCAACATACATAGCCTTAAACACAAATGTATTTCTTTGCTAGCTTTTTGGTTGACTCATGGATAACTAGAGAAAACAAGTGCATGCTTAGGGCAAATCCATGGTGTAAACTGACAATTGTGAGAGACTCATATGTATCTCTTCCACTGTTCTCACACTTTTTACTGCCTCTTTGTAAATATCCTTTTTTGCATTTATATATCTATTATGAACTTTTTTCTTCTCAAGCACTCTTTTTTTTTTTTTTGATTTGCACCGGGTGTCCGAGTCTTTTAGAGCCCCGACTAATCCCGGGGGTGCACAGGCCCTCGGCAAGGAGTTTCCTGCAAGTGCACCACGGTTAATTCAGGTTTTACCCAGTCCGATGGCCCTCAGAAATTGTTTGCACCCAGTGGGTTTCGAACTTGGGACCTTGAAAGGGAGCAAACCCCAAGGCTCAAGTCAATTGCCACCAGGCCAACCCTCGAGGGTTTCTCAAGCACTCTTCGTAGCCCCTTTTTATGACACTCTATGATATGTTTTCTTTAGGTTAGTGAATATGAAGTGGAGATCTCTTTTTCCTCTTTTTATAAGTTTTCTCTATCTTCTTATCAAAAATATAGTGTCTATTGTAAGATCTTCCGAGTGTTGGTTCAAATGTGCTTTCTGGTTACGCTTGTAATTTCCTAAGTCCATACTCGATGATTTTTTCACGAAGTTTCACCGTATGACCCATAAGTTCAACACCACGGTAGTTGTTCTTGTTTACCGGAACGATTTGTTCGACATCCTTCCACCCGTTAATATAACAACGAATAACTTGGTTATCCACTTCAAAACCTCTACAGGGATACCATTAATCCTCATTGTTTTGACATCGTTACTTCAGCTGACCTTACGTGTGAGCTAATGTTTTCATCTGTCATGGTGTATAAAGATCT